AGCTTGGTGAAGGTGCTGTGGAGCCGACACGATGAGACCGAGGCGACTTGGGAGAGAGAGGACGGCATTAGGAGGCGTTATCCGAACATTGAGTTCTGAGTCCTCCTTGTATCTTTTATCGCTTTCTAGTTTCGTTTTCGAATTCCGAGGTCGGAATTCTTTGTAAGGTGGGTAGACTGCGACGCCCCGTTCGTTTATGAATAATTTGGATTATTGTTATTATTATTATTATTTTTATCATTAATTGTGGCTACTATTATTATTGGTAATGAATTATCTAAATGCTTAAATGATTTTATGTGCCTAATTGTATTTATCATATATATTATAATTGTGGTATTTTATCTTAATTATTAAGCACTATTTTAAAATATTTTAATTTATATTATTGTAATATTATTTTTTCGTCCGACCGAGCTTGTTCGAACCCGAGACCGCGCGCCGTGAACCGCGCCCCGAGCCACGTCCGCGCCCCTAACCATCCGCCCCTCCCCTTCCTCTCCTTCCTTTTGTGTGTTGTGGTTTATTTTGGCAAGTCTTGTAGGTTAAGCCAAAATACCTAGCTATATATATGGGAGATGATCATTCTTCCCTTCCTCATTTTTTTTAGCCGCCGACCCTCTCCATCTCTCTCCCTCTCTCCCGATCTCTCTCTCGCTCTCAGCCCCTCCCTCGGCCTCCCGTCCGTCGCGCCAAGGCCACGCGAGCTCTCCCTCCGGCCGTCGCAAGTGCCCAGCAGGTGGCCCCGTCTCGCTCGCAAGTCCCAGACCTCCGTTCGTGCCCCCCCATCGATCCCAGCGCCCAGCAGACGCGCACGAGACCTCCCGGCAGCCCGCGCAAGCCGCCAGCGCACCCGCAAGGCCGTCACCCCGTGCATCCGCGACTCCCTCGGCCCGTCTACCTCCCTCTCGTGTGATTTATCCCGAGAACGGTACAAGGCTGATACTTTTCATTATTTTAGTATTTATATGCCTTATGATCATGCCTTGTTAATAGATCTTGTGTAAATATTTATTATATGATCGATTTTGCTCGTGTGTTAGTTGTTCATGTCATTTGATTGTGATCTGATGTTAAATCATGATAATTGCTGTGGATCTATGGAACACTTGAAGTCTTTGGCCCTATGATGAAGGCCTTAGACGAAATTATTGATTGATTTAATTGTTTTGTATTTTTGAATCGTATAGTGTTGCTGAATCTTCGAAAAATCATTTAAATTTTTATACTCGTCCGATTGCTGCGAAATTTGAACTGTATAACCCTCTGATAATGTTATAAGCCATGTAAAAATTTCAAGTAAAAATAAGGTCTGTAGCTATGTTAATTGTCGATTTGAAAATCTGACCAGAAACTTGGAAAACTCTTTAAAAATCGGATACTTGGTATTTTTCTGTGAATTTTGGTGAGAGTCAGTGATTT